TGACCATCACAACCTATGGCTTCTCCACTGCAAAGGTTAGTGGGTTGAAAAAGGGTTCCCCACAGGCAAATTGGCTGCCTCTAGGCCTGTCCTTGTGCTCTCCTAGGTTGTGTCTATTGGATTACAGGGGCAGAACTTGAGGTTTATTTTGACAGTCAGACTGCTCAGTTGTGGGGCAGATAGTATAATCCATTCTACCTCATCTCAACCAGTGTTAGTACTGGGCTGTTGGCAGGCCATATCTCTTCAGGGCTGCCAAGTGTGAGGCTGCTATTAGCCACATGAAGGAGATTTAATGAAGTATGACCAACAGCTTGCACAACTAACAGGCACACTTGAAACACCTGCCTTAAGTATAAATGGGGATTTGGCAAGAGGCAAGGATTGTTTGGGTTCATCTTTCAGTGGACCAGCTGCATGGTTGGCATAAAGTTAGACAAGCTAGGGTGGAGTGTCGTCTTCCTCCCACAGCAAAGTACCGTGTGCATTTGATCCACAGCTGCAGGAACGTGGTGGCTTTCAGTGCTAGTCCTTCTAAACAATACTGGCTGGGCCCTTTGCCCCCGGTTGTCACTGCAGTTTGCCTTTCCAGCCAGGGGTAAACTGCACTTAGATGCAAGTCCTTCAAGGCGTCAAGCCTCTCCAGGTATCTTACACATGTAAGTGAGCAAAACACTAGAAAAACCCCAGGGCAAAAATCAGGTTATTGCTCAAGTAAGCAGCTTTTTGGTCAGTGTATTGGGCTGTAGGGGCCACCTAGTGGCCCTGAAAAGCCAGTGAAGGTACCAGCTGCTGGCCTGTGAGAAAATGTCAACCGCTCCTCAGCTAGTTCAATAATCAGTGTCCTGTTTAGGAAGGACTGGTACTGAGCACCCATGTACGCAGTTCACATGCCAAATGTCTCTGCCTACCAATGCCACAGCCCTCTGGTTGCTTTGGGGAATGACTGGTGCCTGCTGAAACAGGATCAATGATGATGATACCACCAATGCCAGTCCTTAATATACTATGCTGAAGAAGGGGGTTTCCTGGAAATGGAGGCCACAGTGTTTCTAAGTGATGGAAACACCTCATAGGCTCATAGAGAAGTAGGGCTGGAAGGGACCTCCAGAGGTCATCTAGTCCAGCCCTGTCCCTGAGGTAGGATCGTCCCTAGCCAAACTATCCCATACAACCCTATTCTAAACTCTACATAAGACTACCATCAACCCTGACACAACATAGGCCTAGCACCCTAACCTGCTACAAGAGGGTTATGCGTATGGTTAGAGGTATGGAGAACAGGCCATATGATGAGAGGCTGTGAGACATGGGTCTGTTCAGCCTGGAAAAGAGAAGGCTCAGAGTGGACTTGGTGGCAGCCTATCAATATATAAAGGGTGCATATCAGGGACTGGGAGAACGTCTGTTCACCAGGGCTCCCCAGGGGAAGACTAGGGCTAACGGTCATAAATTGCTAGAAGAGCACTTTAGATTAGACATAAGGAAAGACTTTACAACTCAAGTGTCCCAGGTCTGGAATAGACACACCCCCCCCCCCGCCCCCCCCACAGCGCAGCCACCCCCCCCCCCCGGCCCCCTCCAGAGTGGTTCAATCCCTCTGGATATTAAAAAAAAACAAACCCTAGATGCTCACCTTGCTGGGGTCATCTGACCCTAGCAGTCATTCCTGCCCAAGTGTGAGGTGCTGGACCTGACGATCTCAAGAGGTCTCTTCCAGCCCCTAACATCTATGAATCTATTAATAAAGCTGGGGAACCGTGGCAGGCAATGTCCTGCTTCTGTAAAATGTTGTCAATATTTGCTTAAGAAGTCCCAGGTAATGCCCCCCCCCACCTCCCTGGTACAGGGGAAAGCAAACCTCCATAGTTGATACCAATCTGACCATGAGGTAGAGTTCCTGCCTGACCCCAAATACAGTGATCGGTCTGATGCTGAGTGGAGGGCAGGACCCTCTAGCCAGGAACCTCTGGCTTTGCTCCTAGCAGGAGAATTGACACATACCAGATGAAGTCCCCAACCTTAGCTATAGCTAACATCTAATGCCTCTGGGAGGCTTAAAAACACCCTGACACATATAGCAGCAAAAAGGGAGGGAGGGTGGGGAGCAACCAGCAAGCCCAGAAGCATGGGGAAATACCCATGGTAGAGCATAGCTACACCTAGATTCTCCCTGACCACCAGCTGTGCAACCTTTTGAATACCGGCAGTGATGGAGAGTCCACAACTCCCTTAGGCAGCTATTCCACTGCCTCACTGTTCTCACAGTGGAGTTTTTTCAGACACCCAAGCTAAATTTACTTTGCTGCGACTTCAAGCCATTGGTCCACCTTATTAGCACCGAAACCTGCCTTAATGTCAGCACTGGCCCCAGCATGCCCAGCTCTCAGGGCCCCTTTTATTTCAGATTTGGGGGCCCAGGATTGCTGAATGACACAACTTCCTGTGGAAATAACACTCAGTGCTTCTGCATGCAGGGTCACCCCAGGGGCTGAGCTCCAGGAAAATCCACATGAAAGACAAGCCCTGGCTTTGTGTCAGGCCTGTTTCAGCTGCTTTACAGGACTCAGCACTATTTGTTCTTAAAGCATCACGCACCCCTCTAAAACCCTTAGCAAGTGAAAAATTCCAGAGGGTCACGTCCATAACCCACAGTTGCACAGTGGACACTAGTGTTCATAGGTAGAAACTCACAAATGAAAACCACTAATGAGCCCTTAGCCTCCAGATTGGGGCACTTGGCAGCAGCATTGCCCCAGCCCTGCCCTGGCAGAGAGAAGTAGGGGCAGCTTCTGCTGGGCAGAGTTGGAGCTGGAGAGATGGGGCCAGGGCAGAAAGTAAGGGGCTAGGGGAGCATAGGGTAGAGAGCCAGGTACAGGCACAAGGAGCAGGTATTGCTCCCAGGCCCCACAGCACTCCTCACCTCACCATCTTAGCAGACCGGGGGATACCAAACCAGTCCACTTTCGATCTGCCCACACCAGCTCTACACACTCCTGCTCTACACTATCCATCATCCCCTCCTCACATCCCATCCTGACAAGACAAGGGTGAGGGTCCCTAGTGGACAAGTCTGTATTCCGCCTTGATCCTGTGAACCACCAGGGACCTCAGCTGGCAGCTACTCCATGCAGCTGTTGCCATGAGTGTGTATCTAGTCTGGTTCATGGACACCCCCAATACGTGCCTCTTTTGAGAGCAGACAGAGACCCTGGCACACGTGCACCTGGAGTGTGCCAGGCTGCAGCCCCTGCACCACCTCCTCCAGAACCTCTTTTTTCAGGTGCTGGCTGCACTATCCCCCTTGCCTGTTCATTTAGGCACTCCCTGTCCAAGTCCTGGGACTTCCTGGTCAACCTCCTCCTGGCCCTGGCCAAGGTGGTGGTGTATCTTCCCAGGAAGGAGGCTCTGGCCAGGGGGGGTCCCAGGGGACTGTGGGGCCACTGTCCTTTCACTTGTAAGATCCTGTCTGTGGGCAGAGTATCACTGAGCAGTGTCCACTGGATCCCTGGAATCATTTGAGGACCAGGGCACTGTCCAGTAGGCCTGTGCGAGTAGGCAGCTTTTCAATCTGGCTTCAGATCTGGCTGCTTCGGATGCCAGCGATCCAATCCAGAGCTCCAGACCGGGTTCCCACCTCAATCTGGCTGAAGTGGCTCCAAAGCTTCAGAACCGCGTTGGCGATCCAGCAACAGGGAACAATGGGGAATCAATGAAATATCTATAACTGTGTTGTTTTTTGTCTGATTTGGATTAAACTTGCAGGGGTGGTAGCCTCGGCTGACAGCATGAGGCCTGCCAAGTTTCAAGAAGATCGGTGCAGGGGTTTGGGGGAAACTGCACCTCAAGCTACGGACAAGCAAAACTCATGACATGGGTGACATGGTGCGTGTTAAGGTGCAGCAGGGTGACAGCTGCAGGGAAGGTGCAGTGGGGTGACAGCTGCAGGGATGGTGGCCCCTGCTATGGCCACGAAGCCTGCCAGCTGTCAAGGAGATTGGTGCGGGGTTCTGGCTTCCGGGACCCTGCACCCCTAGCTGCTGACAGGCAAACCTCGTGACATGGGTGCTTGTGCAACTGACTGTTTCTGGCTTGGGGCAGCTGATTGTCTGTATTGGTTCTTTCCTGTCCTTAGTCTGTGGTTTTGTAGGTGTTAATTGTTGCTAATTAACTGGTTGCATTAGCTAGCAACTGTGTATTGAGCTGGTCCCTGAGTGAATCATGATTGATTGGTAACTGGTAACACAGTAGCTTAGCAGCCAGGCCTGCAGTAGTCCCCCCCTCCCACCCCTTGCCTAAAGACAGACACAGTCAGCTGCACAAGCACCCATGCCACGAGTTTTGCCTGTCAGCAGCCAGAGGTGCAGGGCCCCAGAACCCCCTGCACCGATCTCCTCGACAGCTGGCAGGCTTCGTGGCCGCAGCAGGGGCCACCATCCCTGCAGCTTTCACCCCACTGCACCTTAACACACGCAGTGTCACCCATGTCAGGAGTTTTATTCGTCCACAGCTTGAGGTGCAGTTTCCCCCAAGCCCCTGTACTTATCTCCTTGAAACTTGGCAGGCTTCGTGGCCTGATCAGGGGCCACCATCCCTGCAGTTTTCAGCCCACTGCACCTTAACACACACAGGGCCATCTATGTCACGAGTTTTGCCTGTGAACAGCTT